ACACAGAGAGACTCTGTCTCAAAATAGTAATAATAATATGAAAAATAAGAATGAGTCTTTTAAAAAGACAATAGCTGGTGGTTACTCACTGGTAACCCCAGTCTTTGGGAGACTGAGCAGGAAAGATTCTGGGTTACAGGCCAGCCTGGGCCAGATCAGACTACAATGTGAGACTCTTATCTCATTAGAAGGATGAATGAATGGATGGATGGATGGATGGATGGATGGATGGATGGATGGACAGACAGATGGACAGACACCCATCTTCAGCACCTACCTCCATTATGGAACCCTAAGCTAGACCACTAGCACCCCACAGCCATCACAGGAACTGCTAGGTAACTGTGGAATTCTTCTACAGTCAGGCCAGATGGGCAGGGAATCTAGCCTAGTACATAGGTAGAGTTATCTGTGCACATCCTAGCACATATCCAGGAGACAAAGCCACAGGAGCAGATCACATAATCAGGCCCAGAGAGATAAGCAGTTGTCAGCTGCAGAGGGGTAGCTAAGCAGACAAGCAAGGGGTAGGTGTTCTCCCTCCACCACCACAACAGACCAGAGAAATTGGTAAATGCACACCTGCCCTTGGGGCAATGATAACGGCCAGGACTAAGCATCCCTGGGCCACTGAACCTAAATGTAGAGACCCAAGCTCAGGAGGAGAGAGAGTTGCAGCTGTGGAGGATGATAAGTAGAGAAGGGGACTCATTTCCTAGATACTAATGCAGGTATGAGATCTGCCTAGTAAATTATTCCCGTTTTACAGGTAAGAATATGGAGGCTTACCAAGGCCTGAAACACCAGTGATCAAGTCTAAATCTCATTACATCACACAGTGACCCCTGGGCAGAGATGAAACTCTTAGTTGCTTTTTTGTTTGTTTATTTCCCAATGGATATGCAGTGTCAGCTGCCCTCACTTTCAGAGCTATTCTCTCAGGGAAGGGCCACATGTCATTAGCCTATCTAGGGTTAGATATGGTTTGTGAGACTTGGTCCTTGGTGTGGTGGTGTTGAGGTTTATTGACACTTTAAAATGCAGATATGGTGATTGAGAACACTGGTTGCTCTTGCAGAGGACCCTGGTTTAATTCCTAGCACCCATGTGGTGTCTCACAACCATCTATAACTCCAATTCCAGGAGATCCAAAGCCTTCTTTGACTTCCAAGGACGCCAAGCACACAGGTGGTATGCATACATACATGCAGACAAAACATTCATAGTCACATATACAACTTTTTAAATTGCAGAGCAGAAAGTTAAGTGAGGATATAGGTCAGTGGGTAGAGTTATTTGTTTAGCATACTCAAAGCCCTAGGTCAGATCCCTAGCACTGCATAAATCAGATATGGTGGCATATGCCTGTAATGCTAGCATTTAGGAGGTATAGTACAAAAGATCAGAAATTCAATGTCACCTTCAGCTACATAGGAAGTTCAGGGCCAACCTGGGCTACCTGAGACCCTGTGATAGAAGGTTCTTAGGTCATAGAGAGCACAGCCTTCTGAGGGGATTCACATTTTCCTCCAAGAGCCCATGAATTTGTCCTCCTGAGAGAACTGTTATAAAAACAGTAAGCACTGTTTCTGCTCACTCTGGAAGTCCAATCTGGCCCCATGATTCCTCTAACCCACACTGGATCCTGCTATGCTTGATGGTTTCCTATGAGATCCCTCAACTGACTGAACTGATAACAACATAATACTCATAAACTTCTCTTTCAAAGCTCATGGGCTTTGTGTATTTCATTATTATAACAATATGTGCTTAGAAGTTCTCTGACACTAGTGATGAAGATCCTGCCTGGTCTACCTCCATCTCTTCAACAATCATGGCATATCTTTGTGAGATTTACATACAAGTCTTCAAGTTACCTGGTAGGGCTATGGCAGCAGACAGGGCAGACCAGACTTCCTGCCATTGCAAAGGTTCATAGCCCCGTGCCAGTTTGATGGCTCAGCAAAGCAAGGCACTTGCTACCAAGCCCAACAACTTGAATTCAATCCCAGGAATCCACATGGTGGACAGAGAACTGATTCCTGCAAGTTGTCTTCCAGCCTCTACAGGTACACACACACACACACACACACACACACACACACACACACACACACACACAAATAGACAAATGTGTGCTTTTAAGATGGCCATGGTCACCTTCAGCTACATAGGAAGCTGAGAAGGAATCCTGTGGAACGCCCATGAGCTTTAAGATTACAACGGAGAAAAGGTTCAAGGTAAAAAGGGAATCCTAGAGTGTTCCTTACCTTCTCAGCAGAAGCAGTAAAACTTCTGGAAGATAATCTGAGCTGAGCCAACACGAAGCAGATCACTAGTGGGAGGTCGGAGGGGGTGCAAATGAGTAGAGGAAACAGCTTGTGCAAGACTGAGGTATGACACTTTCCAGGAACTGTTCCCCAATTCCATCATGGGTCTTCTGGTAGACCAAGGGAGCAGGGACCAGAGCTGCAGGCTCTGGAGATGCTAAGAGCAGATTTGCATTTCAGAGAGCATCCCAGCTGCAGTGGACAATCAAGCAAAAAAGGAGAGTAGAAAAACCAGTCAGGTCACTGTAGAGCCCCAGGGAAGGACCAGGAAAGGGCTGGGTTTTGGCCTTGGCCCTGGAGATGGAGAGAGGTTACAGCTATGAAGGGAACATGGACCAAGAGGGCACAAAGACATCGTAGCCCTACTCTTTGTGGTCACCTGTATGTCATCGTCTGCCCTAAGGATTTTTTTTTTCTTCCTTCTGTTCTAAGAACTCTTATGGATATTTTGTATCACTTGAGAGTTTTAGCTCTTACTTTGGCCTGTTTGTACAGAAAGATTTCCGCGCCCCCCCCCCCATGGCTTTTGCTTTTTTTTTTTTTTTTTTTTTTTTTTTTTTTGTTTGTTTGTTTGGTTTGGTTTTTGAGAAAGTGTCTCATGTAGTTCAGGATGTCTCAAACTGGCTGTCTTAGGATTCCTATTGTTGTGATAAAATACCAAGATCAAAGCCAACCTGGGAACCAAGGGTTTAATTCAGCTTACTGGCCCAGTTGCTGACCACCATGGAGGGAAGTCATGGCAGGAACTCAAGGAGGACCTGAAGCTGAAGCCATGGAGAAGTGCTGCTTATTGACTTGCTCCCACAAAGCTTGCTCAGCCTGCTTTTCAAAACACCTCAGAACCACTTGCCCAGAAGTGGGTGGCACCATTTGCATTCCACAGGCTTGCCCAGGCCAAGGTTATGGAAGCATTTTTCTCAGTTAACATTTCCTCTTCCAAGTTATGTCTAGGAAATCTTGGTGTAGTTGACCCAGGGATCAAACTCAGGTCATCAGGTTTGGCAGCAGGCACTTTTATCGGCGGAGCCAATTAAGTAGATAAAGGGGTGAAACGTGGGGGTGGGGGTGGACATTCATGTGCTAAGGCAGGCATGTAGCATCCAGAGGACAACCCGAAGGTAAGGCTGTGCATCCAGCTCAAGCGCTCAGGCTTGGTAGTAAGCACCTGTACCTGCTGGGCCATCTTGCTGAATAGAGTGTTTTAAAGAGAAATTAAGGTTTACAGAGAAACTGAGAAAAACATAAATAAAATTCAGATCTTGTATATCTTTCCACCTCTGGCCCTGACTACCCTTCATCTTTTTTCATTGGTGTGAAATATTTGTTAAATTTGATGTGCTAAGGTACATGGTATTATTAAAGCTATGTCCTAGTGAGGGTTTCAAGGGATTTGCAAGCAAAAGAAACAGAATGTCCAGTTTTACCAGCAGCAGAAAGCATTCTTGCTGGTGGGGAGGGGAGAGCAGGTGACAATGTTAAGTGTGATGGTCATCAGCGGGGACCCACCGTCCTGGTCCTACTTTTGTTCTTGTTGGTTGATTTCTTAAAAGAAGGTCTCATGTGGATCAGCCTGGCCTCAGACTCTCTCTATAGCCAAGGATGGCCATGACCTTGAATTCTGCATCTGTGTCCTGAGTGCTGGAGTTACAGGAATGCACTTCCATGATTGGTTGTATGTGATACTTGGACTGAACTCAGGGCTTCATGCACGCTAGGCAAGTACTCCACTAATTGAGCCGCATCCATTCCCAGCCCTTCTCATCCTGTTCCTATTTCTACACATACTTTCAGGAACTCAGTGGCAACAGAAGCCCAAGACTGAACCCATAGAAAACACTTTCTTCTACCCCTTCATTCAAAAATACGACCAGAGACACACAGGCACACTGGTGTGAAGGCAAAGATTATTTGCACATTTTATTTCAGCTGTAAGACAGAGGACAAATGTTTTCTTTATTGTAAAGACAGCAGTTATAAAAGAGAAGTAATAAATATGACATTGGGAATTTTGTTAAAAAATACAACCCCCTGGTATTTGTGAGGAATCCCAAGAACTCACAAGATACAAAAATCTGTCCCACGGGTGACTGTACCTTTTCCTCAGCCCCATGGAGCTAGTGTCAGATACCAGAGGATGGTCATGACTTCTGGGATTTCAAAAGATCTTGCTGTGTCACTTGAGAATTGCAGGGGTCCACTCTGATTTGCACGGAGTCAGGTGACTGATATCCTTCTGCCCATTAATATTACTTCCAACAATTCTTTCATTCTTACAGAAAAGAACTTAGGAGTGGGAAAATGGCCAATATGGGAAGAAAAGGATGAGGGGGAATGAGGTGGGCACTGTTAAGGCCAGGAGACAGGCAGTATGACAGCAAGCTAATCCCCAGTTGGAGAGGGGATGGGTAATGATCCACAAGTCCTCCTTCAAATCCCACCATCACGCTGGAATGGAAAATGGTGAAAAAGAAGTCAACAGAATCTGAGTAGTGACAAGAAGAGAGACGGTGGCCAGGAAACAATGTAGGGACCACAAGGAAGAACCATCTAAGAAATGGGCAACGTGTCCTCTGAGGACCATAGATGAACAGGACTCACTGACATAGAACCACGCAGGGACAAGGACGGGTTTCTGGAAGAAACAAGTCTCCACTACAGATAACAGCAGAGGAGTGCAGGCAGGAGAGGTCAGCTGGCAAGCCTTTTGGAGGAGGCGGGACCCTGGGAAAGATGGAAGCAGTCTCCAGTTATCCAGAGGCACTAAGAAACAGGCCTGGGGCGTAGAGGGGGAGGTCGTTCAGGCAGAGGGCAGCAGGGGTAAAAATGTGAAAGTTGTGGTCATCTCCTCCTGGGTGTCAGTAAGGCACAGCTGTGCTCATGCGCTGAAAGCAGCCTTCAGCTCCCGGAAGGCTGCCTGGCGGAGTCTCCTGGCCTCCTCCTGACGTTTCCGCTCATCTTGCTCAGCTTTTAACTCAGCTTCAAATTTACTGGAGCACGACAAGGCCTGGGCCTGCAGAGAAATAGCAAACAGATGACACAGTAAGGGCAGGGAAGGGTACGGGGGATCTGGCACCCAAGCCTTTGCAGTGGACATGTAAACTCCGAACAAATGGAGCTGCCCAGGGCAGGGGCTCCAACGACACCTCTTCCTTTGGTCCGGGTGAGTGTGGGTACCACTGCTTTACTGGTGACCGACTTTTACATGCTTCTATCTTCTGGGCTTGCTCAGCCTCGATTGTTTTTCAGCGTCCTAGTGAGAATCCACTACTTCATGGCGGTAGGCAGGCTCTACTGTGAAGACACTTCCCCAAACTCTTGCCCACACTTAGATTCCTTTGATTTTACAACAACATCACTACATTCTGGTGGACCAGTCCTGAACCAGGGTCGGTGCTACCTCGGTGGAGAAGGTTCTTTGTGCATCAGATAGAGGGCAGTAGACAAAGAAACTCAGCACCGGTCAAGGTGCAGAGAGTAAGCAACTATGGAGTGCTCAGGCACAAATGGGACACCTGGGTCATACTCCCTCACCAAGCCTCAGGGAGAATCATGGAAGAGTGGGTGGAAACTCTTAAGAACTAGAGGTCGGGGGAGGGGGGAAAAGGGGTCGGGGGACCTCAGTTGAGTGACAGCTGCACTCAAACTCACAGCAGCTGTAGCTGCCTGCATGAGACCTGCACACATCAACCAGTTGCCATTCTAGCATGGAGCAGAGTAGGAAGGGGTTCATGAGCCCCCGTCCTTGAGGAACTATGGCCAGCTGATGGCTTCTGGGAAAGAGTCAGTTTTCTTTAAGGGTATGTGACTCCTGGTAGGTCAACCAAGCTTCAGTGGATGGCCCCATACTCAGAGGTATATGGTGAGCAAAATAGTTTTTTGTTTGTTTGTTTTAGTTTTTTTGACACGGGACTTCTCTGTATAGCCCTGTCTGTCTTGGAACTCACTCTGGCCTCAAAGTCACAGAGACCCACCTGCCTCTGCCTCCACTGCTGTGATTAAAGGTGTAGGCCACCACTGCCGAGCATTTGTTTTTCAAGGGATGCAAGTTGTGGGGTGAAGGAGAAGAGACAGATTTGGGAGGAGCTGGAACACAAATATTATCCAAATTCATTGTATAAAATTATCAAAGAATTAATAAAATATTTTTTAAACATTACTATATCCTAGGTGGAAGAGCAAAAGTAATGTCTTGGGAGTCTTTGGTTGGGATTGCATCTGATGTCGGGCTGGAAGGGGAAAGCTTTACAGTAGCTTTCTGAATGTCGTGGATGCTGGGAGGCAAACTTGGGTCCTCTGGAAGAGCAGTGCATACTCTTTCTCTCTAGCCCCAGAGCATCAGTTCTTGTTCAATCCTGCTTCTGTGTTCCCATCAACAGTTTAGTTCTGGGCTGGAATATAATTCAGCGGCTGAGGACTGAGCTGGCACGCAGGAGGTCTTGAGTTCAATCTTCAGTAACCACAAAAAGGAAATACATTTTTTAAACTTATCCACCAGTCATTTATTCTAAATTTACTTCGAAATATTACATTTTTGGCTTGCTTTGGTAACATCTATTATAAAGTATCACATGTTTAGCTATGTATGGTGGCTCATGCTTTCAATACTAACACTCAGGAGGCAGAGCGTTGAGTCCAAGGCCAATCTTGACATATAGAGTTCTAGGCCAGTCAGAGCTACAGTATGAGATCCAGTCTCCAAATTAAATGCAATAAAAATAAACTCAACATGTTTTTGCTTGTATTATGAGGGATTTTATAGTTTTTTTTTAAACTAATGATTACTCTTCAATAAAACCATATTAGGGGTTGGGATGCAGTTCAATTGGTAGAGTGTTTGCCTAGCATGCATGAAGCCCTATATTAGTCCCTAGTACTGCATAAAACTGATGTGGTGGCAAAAGCCTATAATCCCAGACCTCAGGAGGTAGAAGCAGAGGACTAGAAGTGTGAGGATCATCCCTGGCTACATAGCCAGTTTGAAGAAAGCCTGGGACACACAAGATATGTTTCAATCATAATAATAATGATGCCTTATCAGATAAAATCATTTAAAAATCTTCCCTTCTAGAACTGACTTTTTTCTGTAGTTTACATATTTGGCATCAACAGCCCACTGTGTATGTGATTTTAACAAAGGCTACAATAGAGCCCTTGAAGGTAGCTGTTCCAGTTTATACCTCCACCATCATGGACTGGAAGTATTCCCACATACACTTGGCCAAAGCTTGCCGTGACCATCCTTACTTCCTTGCCAATCCGATAGTCAAATACTGTCTTCTCTCGTTTCCTCCATGGAGAATTACCCACTTCCACACTCAGCTATTTTTTACTTCCTAATTGTGGTGAATTAATATTTCCATTGTCACCTCCTAGCTTGGTGGGTCTTTTAGAGTATCTTGGACCACCACAGTGCTTAAAATCTTGATGTAATTTGTCAACCATTTACTCTTTCCTTTCATGTCGTGTGTGTATATATGGGGATGCACTTGTGGACACACTTGTGTCTACCTTGTTTTAGGCTGGAGCTCACCAAGTACTCTAGGCTGACTGGCTTGGGAGCCCCGAGGATCCAAATACATCACCATGCCTAGCTTCTTTTTCAGGCAGGTTCAGGGGATTGAACTCATGACATCATGGTTGCAAGGCAAGTGCTTTGCCAACTATACTCTCTCTGCAGCCCTACATACCATTTTATATGGGATGTAGGGGCAGGAGGGGTGGGCTTTTAACATATAAAAATGTTCACATCTGAGGTTTCTGGAACCAACCCCTCCATGGACACAAAAGGCCAACTACACCTTCAATTCTGCCTGGCACAAGGTTCACATCTGCCCACCTCCTCAGTAAGGCCCACCCTCACTGCCATGACTTAGTATGCATGCCTCTAAGCCGAGGGCACACTTTTTAATAATAAGTAATAAGTAAATGAAAGGGAACTCTTCCACCTGGAGAGGTTCAATGGTTAAGAGTACTTGCAGAGGACCAAGCATCCGTTCCCAGCATCCACCTGACAGCTCACAACCCTATGAACTTCCAGTTCCAAGGATTCTGGACACCCTCTTCTGGCCTCTACAGGCACATGGTGCACACACACATATGCAGACAAAACACTCATATAATAAAAACAGTAAAAACAAATAAATCCTTCAAAAACCACTCGTAAGAATAGTGGCTAAGCTGGGCAGTGGTGGTGCACACCTTTAGTCCCAGCACTCGGAGGCACAGGCAGGTGGATCTCTGAGGTGGAGGCCAGCCTGGTCTAAGAGGAAGTTCTAAGACAGTCTGGGATGTTGCACAGAGAAGCCTTGTCTTGAACAACCACCTCAAAAAAAGAATAGTGGCTGGATTCACTAGGACTTGGAGATTTCAGGCCAGAGCTGGATCTTCAATGGCCCTCTTCCTAATCTCTCTCCTCACAGTGGTCCCTGACCCCTCCCTCTTTCAGCTGGAGGAAAACAGAGATGCTATGCTGAAACTGGCTTGGACTTGCTCAAAAATCAACTGCCTCGTCCCCTGAATGTCTGTGAGCCATTTATAAAATTAGTCATCACAAAATTTTAAATTGTATGAATCTGCAATCAACTATACCAAAAGCAAAAGCAAAAGGAACAAGTACTGAGGGGCCATCACACTCTGATGATCTCAGTACAGTTTGTTATTATCTGCGAGGGCTGTGCCTCCAGCGTGGGAAAACCGAGCGTTGACTGAGAACAGCGCCCCTGCTCCACACCACGTGTTCACATTCCACTGAGAGCTTGAGCTCAGTCTCGGTGTGAATATTTACACCATGGGAAGCAGCCCCCATGACACGTTGGCCTTCGTTGTCCTTGTCTACACAGTCTTGTCATAATGCACTTGGAACATGTTTAAAATGCAGGTGAAACTTGAAATGTGTTGTCTGTTGCCTTTGCATTATGAGAGGATGACCTTTTGGTACTTGAAATCATCCAAGAGAAATTGCTCGGCACAACAAGAAATGAAGTGGTTTTTCTCCTCTTCTTCCCCCTCTGTGTTTCTCTGCCTGTGTGTACCTCCTCTCTCTCCTCTCTCTCTCCCTCTCTTTCTCTCTCTCGATAGTGCATGTGTTTGGAGGTCAGAGGGCAGCCTCAACTGTTCATCTTCATCCTCACCTTGTTTGAGACAGGTTTCTTTCTTGTTCATTTCTCTGTATTCAGGCTAGCTGATTTGCTAGCTTTTGGGCTGGGTGGGTGGGAGAGATTGCTTCTTTTCACCTACCTTCTTGCCACAGAATACTGGGATTATACATGTATGCTAACATGCCCTGCTTCACAAGGGCTCTGGGGCTCTGAACTCTCCTCCTGCAGCAAACACTTTAACCACTGGATCATCTCTGAAGCCCCCACTCAACCAGGGCAAAAGGTCCGAGGCTTACTTCCCGGTTTGAAAACCCATCCAAACCTACCAATCCCTGAGTTCAAAAACCCACCATCTGCCAGGCAACAAATCTTGCCTCTGGGATTCTATAACCCTCCCTGACCCTAAACCCCCACCCCACGACCTAGACAATTTCTCCCTGGTAGGGAAACATACTGACTTCTCTCAGAGGCTGCCAAGTAAACAAAGATGTTCTTACCTAACCCCAAGCTGCTGTCTCACCTGCTCTGACATCTGCAATGGGGACTTGGCTCTCAGGGTTCCTCCTACTAGGTCCATCCCAACTCAACATAGAGAATCTGATCCCTTAAACATCTCTTCTGAGGGCTGGTCAGATTGTTTGCTGCCAGATTTGACAACCTGAGTTCGATCTGTAGGACCCACATGGTGGAAGGCGAGAACTGCTAGGGCTGGAGAGATGGGAGAGGTTAGGAGCACTTCCACAGGAATCTGAGTTCGAGTCCCAGCGCCCACATCAGGAGGTTCAGAAGCACCTGGAAGTCTAGGGACATCTGACACCTCTTGACTCTTTGGGCAACAGCAGTCATGGCCACAGACTCACACCTACACATAATTAACAAAAAATAAAATTTAAAAAGCCCAAACCACTCCTGCCCAGCAAAGTAGCATTTTTCTCCAGCATTCCCTTGGGCCTGAAGACATAAATGCAAAGCCTCCCTCCACTCTCGGCCACTCTCCTCCTGTTTCAACATGTACTTCTGAAGATGGCTCCTACCTCTGTGTTACTTGGTGTCCATAGAGCATATTTCTTCCCTTCTTTCTTCCTATGGGAAGCTCACCTGGTACATGGAGTCTGACCCCACCCCAGGAGAGGGTTATGAGGACAGTCATATTCTAGCCATTGTCAATGGTGGTGGATCCATCCTTACAGCAAGACACACAGACCTCCAAGAAAGATGGACGGATATTTTTTATAGCCTCCGTGTGGCCATTATTGGAGGACCATTTGCAGCCATCACCATACCCATCAAATTCATTCATGTCTTTACTGTGCCTGAAGTTATCTCGGACTTCACACCAAAGCCCAGTTTATTGCTTTTCTTCTTCAAACCACTCCCACTTGAGGGAGGGACTTCCTTGATACAAAAAAAAAAAAAAAACTCAGCTCCCCTCCTCAATGCACACCTCATGTTGGTCTTCCCCAAACTCCCAAAAATGTAGTCACAAGCACAGAAGTTCTAAAGTTGTGTGTCTTTATGTTGTCCCTGGTCCCACTGTCACAACGCTAGACAAACTGATATTCCTCCCCAAGCACATCTCTCCTCTAGTGTCAGACCTCCCCAACCAGTTCTGAGGGCTCTCCAGCCCCTGTAGCTGGGCTATCCCAGCCTGGCTGCACCTGATGCCACCTGCAGTGTTAGATCAACCCCTTGTTTCCTGACGACTCCCCCAACCCCCACACACCCAAAAAAAAAGTTTTAAGAAGACCTGGGTTGGGCCTGGGAGGCCAGTCTACAGGTAATCCTCAGCTTGGGAATTACAACCAGGGACCATCTGATCTCAGAGTCACCTACCTCATACCAAAGGTGGGAAGCGGTGATCCAGGTCCTAGCTCTCCGTACTCGCATCTTAGCTTGCTGTCCCTGAGGTGGTGCCAGCCCTTCGCCCTCTCTCCTTGGCCTCCAGGACTCCCAGCCCTCCATGCCCTGGAGCCTTCCCTTGCAGTTCCCATGGCCAGGGCCCCTCCCTTCCTTGATTACAAGGTGAATCCCCATTCATCTTACAACATCTGTTACTAGTGTCATCTCCCTTACGGCCTCTCCCAAATCCAAGCCGTGCTTCCCTCCATTCGTCATTCATGCAAACATTTATTGAGGTCCATTACACACCAGGCGCTGTAATTACAAAGATAACACACCTACTACTCTGCCTTTGAGTCCGGTTGAGGAGGCAGACATATAAACACAGAAAGTAGGAAAAGGTTTATTGTTTTGTGCGTTTCATCTTTTCTCCTTATAAAAATAATGCACACCAATTCTACAACACCACAGAAGTATAAAATGCGTCCCTTGACTTAACTATTACTAATACTCTCATATGTAATTATCTAAGCTGTATTCAGCATTTAAAGTCAGGTGTCCACATATTATTTTGCTTGATTTACTTTGGACATATGTGTACACACATGACACAGTCTCGTCTCGAATCTTTGATTGCTACAGAATGAATGACCATATGGTCATGCCATGATGGACTCATCTCTGACAACTGAAGTTTAAGTTGTGTCCAGTTTGTAACAACCCCACCAGTGTTGCTGTAAATCCTTCCCTCGGAAGGAGAAGTTCCGGAGGCAAAATACCAATTGCTCTACAGACTGATTGACACTGTCCCTGCAAGTATCCAAGAGCACCATGAACAGATACAAAACAGCACTGCTTGTACTCAGGAGAGGGGCCTTTCCAGGTGTGGACAGGCAAGAGTAGGCTGCCCTAGGAGGTGGTCCCAAAGGAGTAGAGTTCTCCAAACAGTAGCCTTGTGTTGGAGCTCTGGGCAAAGAGAGCTACAGGTTCTAAGGATTGGTTGTGAAAATTCCCAGCAACGTCTGTCTGAAGGGCTGGATGGGGCTGGAACAGAGATCATGGGCAAGTCATGACAGATCCTGCGTGCCCAGATGATGCAGTCCCAGGGAGCATTTAGCCCAGTGTATCTTGGCAGGGAACTGTCCTGCTACTCTTGGGCTTCAGTCCTAGGACCTTTCCCAAGAAGTCTCAAGAGACTGTAAACACGAAGGCACTAATGGATGGAGAGGTTCCATCACAGGGGAAGGGGCCCCTTCCTCATCACTACCCCCACACCCTGTGTCAACAAGTAATTGGCTTCCCTCCCCACACTGTGTGGGCCCCCGAGGAAGACGAATGCTGTGTCCCTTTCTTCCTGAGTTTCAGAAGTCAATGCACTAGCTGGTCTTCGCCAACAGAGTCTATCTGCAAACAGCCTCATAGACAAAGTGAGAATGGAGTCCTGTTTCAAGCTCTAAACAGGCCAGGATGTCACCAAGGTTGCTCTGTCCTGGGGTAAACTAATGGGAGAAACTCAAAGTCCCCCAGAGGCCGGCAACTGACTGAAGACACATGCAATCTGGATGGCTGGGACTGCATGCTGACTGCTCCCCAGTAGCCAGGCAATTACTTAACACTACACATGCAAGCTCATTTCATCCTGCCCGTGCCTCTGTGGCACAAGTGGAAACAGGGCTAGTGTAGCAACGTGTGGGAGGGAGGCAGATCCCTTGGCTGGCTTGCCTGCTTGGGGTCGGGGGTGATGTGCCCATCTCACTGCACACTGCTCGGCTTAGCAGCAGGTGTGAAGGGGTTCCCTTATCTGTGTGTCTGCAGGTGTGCTCTGCAGAGACAAGAATGGCCGCTGCTAGCTTTGGATAGCTGCCTCAGTGTTTGGGGATTATGACCTCGCAGGGCTGTGAGGCCTCCCCACCTCCTGATCATTTTCAGTGATGCAAACATTGATTTAGGGCAGGCCACTCTGGCACTCTCCCCTGACCCCTCTCCTACTTGTCTGCAACCCATATATATATATATATATATATATATATGTGTGTGTGTGTGTGTGTGTGTGTGTGTGTGTGTGTGTGTGTATATATATATATTTTTTTTTTTTTTTAAGATTTATTTTTTAATGATTTTCTGTTGTTGTTTGAGACAGGATTTCTCTGTATAGCTCTGGATGTCCTAGACTTGTTCTGTAGACCAGGTTGGCCTTGAACTCACAAAGATCCACCTTCCTCTGCCTCCTGAGTGTTGGGATTAAAGGCGTGCACCACCACCACTGCCTGTGATATTTATTTTTAAATACTCTTGTAGACACACACACACAGAAGCGTGCGCGCACGCCCGTGCTTAAATCTAGGTGACTGCAGAAGCCAGAGATGTTGTTGAATCTCCCTGGAGTTACGATTACAGATGGTTTCAAGCCATTTAATATAGGTGCTAAGAATTGAACTTGGATCCTTTGGAAGAGCAGTATAAGCACTGAAGTACTTCAGCGTGTGTGTGTGTGTGTGTGTGTGTGTGTGTGTGTGTGTGTGTGTGTGTGTGTGTCCACAGAGGACAGAGGAGGGCATCAGATTCCCGGGAACTAGAGTTAGATGAATTGTGAGCTGCACAATATAGATGCTGGGAACCGAACTCTAGTCCTCTTCTCTCTTCCAACCCAGATGTTTAAGATCAGAAAGAGAAGGGGGGGGGGCAGGGCCTGTAGAAGTAACTCAAGGTCTAGAGGGAGAGTCTATCTTGGAGCCTGGGATCCACAAACCCTCCTGAGTCAGATGTTTCTGTGCTGTGTGAGAACAAACTCTCACTTCCCAGTGAGTGAGCTAAGAGGTCACTGTGCAGGAAGTGCCTGTCATGGGGACAGGGTAAAGGAAGAGTGGGGGCTGGGTAGGGAAGGAACAGACACTTACCTTGGCTTCGAAGAAGTTCTTGGCACCTTTGACGCCCTCCAGGGAAACATCGATCTCAGAAAGCTTGGCCAATGCTAACAGCCCACTGTCCTCCTGCAGTTCACCTGCAGCGGCCTTGTGAAAAATGAGCAGGAACTGTGGGAGGGAGAGGGACAGGAGGGTCACTGCTATCCCCGATGCCACACCAATGCATCCCCAATAATCCCTCTGCCCTTGACGTTCTTGCCAAGAACTTGAAATGTGTGTTTTGTTTTAAATAATGTATTCATTTTTATTCTATGTGCATTGGTGTTTTCTGTGCATCTATGTCTGTCTGTGTGAGGCTATCAGATCTTGGGGACAGTTGTGAGCTGTCATGTGGGTGCTGGGAATTGAACCTGGGTACTCTGGAAGAGCAGTCAGTGCTCTTAACCGCTGAGCCATCTCTCCCATCCCAAGATTTATTATTTTTTTTAATTATATGCACACAGGGGGAGGATGCACATGTGTGGGTGCAGGTATCCATAGACTTTGGAAGAGGGCCTTGGAACTCTGGAGCTGGGGGCTACTGGAAGTTGGGAGCGACCTGATATGAGTACTAGGAACCTGATGGGAGATGTCATTCTGTAAATATGTTTCTCTCATTGGTTAATGAATAAAGCACTGTTGGCCAATAGGAAAGCAAGATTGGTAGGACTAAGAGACAAGGAGGGTTCGGGGGAGATGTAGTAGAAGATTCAACATGTAGAACTGAATGAGAACAACTCTGGACCCTCTCTCTGGTAAGATAAGACCACATGGAAATACTTAGATTAATAGAAATGGGCTAATATTTAAGACAGAGCTAGCCAATGAGAAACTCTAGTAACAGGCCAACAGCTTTATATCTAATACAGCGTCTCTGTGTTATTTGGGGTTGGCGTGGCAGTGGGACCAGGCTGGTGGGAAAACTACTCGTAACAGGAACCAAACGTGGCTCCTTTGCCAGAGCAGCAAACTCTCTTAGCCATTGCTCCTACCTGGACATTTATGTCTATGTATGTATGGAGAATTATTTTGTCCCTTACCAAATGATCAAAACAAAAAAAGTGGGGAGTGTTGGTGGTGGGTAAGGGCATAGCTCAGTGGTAAAGCAATACTTGGTGTGTGAAGGACCTGAGTCCAATCCCCAGTACCAAATAAATTAATTTAATTAAAATATTGTTCTCTCCCCCATCCAGTAATGTCACTGCTGGGAACCTGTTCCTCAAAAACCCATACAATAACACTACAGAGTAGCTCAATTGGTAGAAAGCCCTGGATTCAATCCACAGTAAGTACTGCATAAACATAATGGTAATGGCCTGTAATACTAGTGTTTATTTGATTGTCTTTATATCTTTGAGGCAAGGTCTCGCTATGTAGCCTTGGCTGGCCTAGAGCTAGCTAGCTATAAATCAGGAAGGTGTCAAAGTCATAGAAATACACTTGTCTGCCAATCTCCTGAGTATGGGGATTGAAGGCGTAGTATGCCTAGCCCTCATTCATTCATTCATTCATTCATTCATTCATTCATTCATTCATTCATTCATGTATTCAATGTGTGTGGAGGTCAGAGTCAGTTCTTGCCTTTAATCTTCTTTAGGTAAGGTCTGTCATGTTTCTGCTGCTGCACTGTCCACTCAAGACTAACTGGCCCTCCAGCTTCCCACCAATCCTCCTGTCCCCACCTGCCATCTCCCCACAGAAGTGCTGGGACTAGAGATGTGTTAAGACACACAGCTTTTTATCCGTGTTCCCGGGATTAAACTTCAGGTGTCAGGCTTGCACAGCTGGAACATCGGGAGCCTCTATCCATCCAGCCATTTCCCTGCCCTATACAATATTTTTTTCCTATACACTATTTTTTTTTTAAACTAAATAACTGTTTTGTTTTAGAGGTGCATAAATGGTCTTGTACTCACAAAGATCCACCTGCCTCCCAAGTGCTGGGATTACTGACCTTTGTCACCACACTTAGCCCCAACTTAATCATCTTACTTTTTAAAAAGCTGAGCCGAACTCCTGGAATCCAGTTGCAGAGAGGGAGGAGTGATAAGAAAAGGGGTCAAGACCAGGCTACAGAAACCCACAGAGACAGCTGACCTGAACAAGGGTGAGCTCATGGCCCCCAGACTGATAGCTGGGAAACCAGCATTGGACTGACTCAGACCCCCTGAACATGGGTCTCAGTTAGAAGGCCTGGGAAGTCTAAGGGACCTCTGACAGTGGAACCAGGATGTATTCCTGGTGCACGAAAGGACTTTGAGAGCATATTTCTCATGGAGGGATACTTCCTTAACCTAGAGACAGGAGGGAGGGCCTAGACCCTACTCCAAATGACTTGACAGATTTTGATGATCCCTCCTGGAAGGCATCACCCTCCCTGTGGAGTTGGGGGGGGGTAAGATGGGAGGGGGATTGGGGGCATGGGAAAGTGGGAGGGAGAGGGAACTGGGATCAATATGTAAAACAAGAAAAAATAATATATATATATATATGTTTATGCTTAAAAAAGCATATATTTATTTACTTTGTGTGTGTGTGTGTGTGTGTGTGCGCGTGCGTGAGTGCGTGCGTGTACCATGGTACACGTGGAGGTCAGACGGCAGTTTGAAGGAGTTGGTTCTCTTCTTGCACCATGTGAGTCCCTGGGACCAAACCGAGGTGGTTAGGCCCGGGCCTTTACCTGTTGAGCCACCCCTATGCCCCTCCTCCCCGCCCCACCTTTTGAATATCCTCTTAGCTTGTTCTGTTTTTATGTGAGGTGGCTTGCCTTTCTTGTGGTTTACTAAGAGACCTTTGTAGGCCTTAGTATGTTTTGAATGCCTTAGATCTGCTACTGGTCATTTAAGTGGGCTGTGGCCACGGTTATTTTATTTGTTTGGACACATGTGTGGAGGTCAGAGGGTAACTTGCAAGAGTCAGTTCTTGCCCCTCCACCATGTAGGTCCCTGAGATCGAACTCAGGTCAGCAGGCTGGGCATCAAGCATCTTTGCCTACTGAGCCACCTTCCCAGGCCTGTTATTTCTGTTTGTTTTTGTTTTTTGAGACAGGGTTCCTCTACATAGTCCTGTATATCCTGAAACTCACTCTGATGACCAGGCTGGTCTCAAACTCATAGAGATCTGCCTGCCTTGGCCTCCTGAGTGCTGAGATTAAAAGTGTTCGACACTACACCCAGCCCTGTTTACTAATTTTTTGAGATGGGTGGGTCCTGCTAGGTTGCTGGTCTCAACTGAGACTTGCATCATCGGCCTCCGGAGTGAGCGAGCCCACGGGTGTGTGCCACCGATCCTGGCTTCTTTATGGCATCTTTTGACTCGAAAAGTTTTACATAAGCTCTGCCAGATCTTTTTCTTCCCTCTTACCAGAGACAGGCTTAGGGAAACCTTCCCCAACACCAAGGTTACACAAACAGTCAGGCATGTTTCTGTCTAGTACTTTTATGGCTTTTCCTTAAAACATGTAAATATTTAATCTCTGAAATGTAGTCTGTTCTATTTCGAGGGTAATCATTAACCTTATTTTCTTCCAAATAGTTACTTAGTAAGGCCCACATTTATTGTGTAATCCACTGTCTTCCTCCACACTCAAAATGCACGAGCTCAACAAAGTAATCTGAGAGGGCAATTGTGTTAAGGCCTCTACTGAATAAATTCTTAAACACAAGTCTCTCCTCTGCCTGACCCTCTCTCCCTGGGCCACTTTCTAATGATTTAAGTATTTTTATAAAACTAGCACGGTGGCTCACACGTGTAACAGCAGCAGCAAGAGGCTGAGGTAGGAGGATTGCCAAGACTTTTCAGGCCAGCATGGGCTACGACGAAACTCTAGCCCAAAACAAACCAAAACCAACAACACACACCTGTGAACTTCAAACATGTCCCTATCACCTCTTACTCGTTCTGTATATGTGCATGCCATGGGGCAGATATGGAGGTGACAGGACAACTCGGTTGGTTCTCTCCTACCACATGTCCCCCAGGATTGGATTCAGGTTGTCAGGCAGTGGGGACATTGATCCATGGTAAAGAGTATGTGTCGTACTTGTAGGGGACTTGGGTCCTTTCCCAGCAACCACACAGTGGCTCACAACCAGTTCTAGGGGGTCGGAGACCCTCCCCTGGCATCCATGAGCACTAGGCATACACATGGTATATGTACACCCATGCAGTCAAAACATTTATACACATAAAATAAAATAGGGCTTTAAAAATTACAGATTTATACGCAATTTCTATGGACACCGCCACCACCACCCCATTTATAAGTGAATGGGCCAAACCACCGAGTTTCTTCAGGTTTTCACACGCAACAGAAAGCATGTACAGAAGGAAAATACAGCCATGTTCCCTTAAAGAATGCCTTTTCTCCCCGGTGGTGATGGCGCATGCCTTTAATCTCAGCACAGAGGCAGGTGGATCTCTGTGGGTTCAAAGCCATTGTGGTCTGCAGTGTGAGTTCCAGGACAGTCAGGACTGTTTCACAGAGAAACCCTGTCTCAAGACAAATAAACAAATCAACAAACAAGAACAAAAACCAAAGGGGGCAAATGCCTTCTGTGAAAGACAGTCAATCATTTCAACGGGCTTTCCAAATCCCAACCCCAGTGTCTTAGCTCTCAAGGATACAGCTTTCTCTTTGCTAGGAAGCCTGCTTTGTGCTTGCCCTTCTCGCTCAATGCTCACTCTGCTGTGGACTCGGGTGAATGCTAACCCAAGTGGGATGTGCAGGGATTTGTAGCTTCTCTGAGTAAACAGAAAAGCCACATTCCCACCTGCAGCTTCCAACTCTCTCACTAGAGGCCGGCAAAGGCTCAGTTTGCAGCAAGGCTCGTAGGTTGGCTGGAGAGAAAGCAAGCCTGTTGAAGGAGGCCAGGCCCCCACAATGGCTGGAGGCCCGGAGGGTGGGGATAGTAGTGGCTGCTGCGTTTCTCTCAGTTCTCGCTTCTCTCCTGAAGAGATGGACAAAGTAAAGACTTCAGCACTGCAAGCGTGAGCTGTGGATGGAGTAAATGCCTGCTCCTCAGCAGCTGGCTCCTATGATGCTTTGGTCCTTAGTCCAAAAGTGTCCTTAAAGTACTGCATTGACTGGAGGGCCCCACAAGGAGAGCTACCTTCTAGGGCAACACTTCTCAGAGACTCGGGGAGACAACTCAGGAAAGCAAAGCGGGAGCATTGCCCCAGCTCAGCATCCAGGGACTCTGCCTTCCCCAGGACTCCGTTTTCTCACCTCTAAAGTGGAGGCAGGGCTAGTGAGATGACTCAGAGAATTTGTCATCAAGACTGACAACCTACACTGGGTCCCCAGGGCCCACACATTGACGTTGTTCTCTGGCCTCCACAAGTGTGCCTTGGCACCCATGTACCCCTTCCCTCAACACAAAATAAACAAAAATAAAATCTTAAAACGTAAGTGGAGGCGACAGTGTTCACATTCGCAGAAGGACATTGGGAACCAGAAGCATTAGCCAATCCCTTGGGCTTTTCCCAGCACTGCTTGCTCTGAGCCCTGAGGTCCAGGACACCAGACGGCAGATGCTCGCTAGCTCTGCTAGATGACCGACAGCATCCCCCATCATAATTCAGGGGTCTCCTAACCCCAGCCAGGCGCACCCAGCCCACCAGGCACTCCCATTTCTCCCACTGAAATCTCTGCAGTCTCCTTCACTGCCCAAACCTTGTTTGTTTTCCTATTTATAGTCCACAAAGACTGGCACAGTGTCGAGCTGGAAAACATCCGAGCTGTGACTCTGAGAAAAGGGGGAGGGAAGGAGAGGTAGAGAACAAAGGCCGAGGGCAGAGGGAGCTATAGCCCAATGCAGAAGCTCTTTCGGGCACAAGCCTGTGCGTGGATGTTGCCCTGAGATGGAGAGAATTTCTAACTTCGTGACAGTGGCTAGTGGTGTACAAGTAATGCTTCCTGTGTTAAAGCTCTCCATCTGTAGGTGTCAGACATAAATTTCTTACTTTAGGACAATGTAGAAAGTGTAGAAAAATAACGTGTCAAGCACCCAACGGAGGGCTGACAAGATGGCTCAACAGGTAAAGGTGCTTGCTGCCAAGGCTGACGACCTGAGTTCAAGCCCTGGACGGACATAGTAGAAGGGGAGAACTGACTCCTCCAAGTTGTCCTCTGCTCTTCACAGATGCACGGAGGCACATATGTCCCATAAATAAATAATGTAAATAAATAAATAAATAAATAAATAAATAAATAAATAAATAAAAGAGCCAGGCGGTGGTGGCATCGCATGCCTTTAGTCCCAGCACTTGGGAGGCAGAAGCAGGCAGATCTCTGTGAGTTCAAGACCAGCCTGGTCTACAAGAGCTAGTTCCAGGACAACCTCCAAAACCACAGAGAAACCCTGTCTCAAAAAAACAAAAATGAATGAATGAATGTATGAATGAATAAATAAGAATGAACCCCCAAGGGTAAATCAAAGTGTGATGGAGCACGCCTGTAATCCCAGCACTTAGGAGGTAGAGGCAAGAGGATCAGGAGTTCAAGGTCATCCTTAAGTACGTAGTGAGTCTGAGGCCAGGCCTTCACTATGTAAAACCCTGTCTTCAGCGATAGAAAGATGGCTCCAGCTGTTAACAGCACTTGCTGCCCTTGTAGAGGACCCAAGTTTGGTTCTCAGTTCCCACATGGAGTCCTACTACTATTTGTAACTCCAGTTCCAGGAGATCTGATGCTTTCTTCTGGCCTCCAAGGCACCTGTGATAAACAGGTGTACATAACAGACAAAACATTCGCACACATAAAATGTTTTTAAGACCGTGTTTTAACTCTCCCCACTCTATATATCACAAACACAGAGAGAGGGACAGAGACAGAGAGAGACAGAGACAGCGGTGATACATGCCTATAATCTCCAGCACTAAGGAGGCTAAGATAGAAAGATTACTGAGTTCAAAGCTAGTCGAGGCAAAATAGTGAGTTCTAGGCTATGTCACTCCAAGGTAACCAGGCATGTGGAGAGCTAAAGCAGAAGGGTCCCATGTCAGAGGCCAGCCTGGGATAGATTAAAAATAGAACCTTCTCAAGAGACATGTACTGCTCTGACAGGGTGTGGTCTGCCTGCAAGCCCAGGCGACCTCTACCATGGGTGGACACAGCAAAGCAAATCGTAGAGCAGGGCGAAGCTTGTGGGGTCTAGATGGTCACATGTCCGCACAAAGTATTAATGGGAATGTCCCTGGAGCTTGTTCCAGGGGCTAAGAGCTGACAAAACTGCTTTAGAGGTCTCTAAGCCTTGGGTGCCCACTTCTGTGAGAAATGGCCACTCTAGAAGCCAACCAAAAGATGGCCAAGTAGCGTAGATTCAGTTGGATCACCTATGGGAGAGAGGATGCTGGAGACATGGCTTAGTGGTTAAGATACTGCTCTTAATGTCAAGGGCCTGGCTAATTCAGAAAAACAAGAAAACAGAAAATGGCCTAATTCTATCAGGCTGTCATTAGTTATATGACACCATATCCAACTGAAACATCTCAAAGTCTTCCAATAAAACTCATACACATATAGTCAGGCATAGTTTCTCACAGGCAGAAACTCATAGCAATCCTCTTGCCTCAACCTTAATGTACTTGGATAACAGAAATAAGCTACCATGAAAGTTTTTTTTTTGTTTTGTTTTTTGTTTTGTTTTTGTTTTTGAGATAGGTTCTCATGTAATTCATTGTGTAGCTGAGGCCAGCCTTCAACTCATGATCCTTCTCTGTCTCCTGAGTGCTGGGACTATGAACATTCCACTCACACAATTTACAGAAGATGTGTTTAAAAACATTCATCCAAAGAGCATTCTCAAGAGGTAAAGCCATTTGCACTCAGGGGCTGTGGACCTGGGCTTCTCAGGTTCAGTAAGCCATAGGTACCTCCCGGAAGCTGAGTTTGCCATCGAAGTCTTCATCCACTTCTTTGATCATACTCTTCAGGCCCAGGTGTGTCTGAGGGGCTCCCAGTTTCTCCATCATGAGCTTCAGCTCCATCAGGTCAATAAAGCCATCCCTTCCAGCATCATACCTGCAAGGTCAAAGGAGAAAGGGTCAGGACAAAAGGATACATGTTAGTTTCCCAGATATGCAACTCTTCTTGTTTTATCTACTGAAAAGTAACTCAACTGCCTCCTGCTTTTGCAAGGCTCTTCAGACCACTCACCATAGCTGACCCCTCCAGGCTACCTCATCAGGACGGAAGCCCCACCAAGGCTCCCTCATCAGAAGAGATGCCTCCTTTAGCAAAAAGTCTGTCTTTGTGCTTTGCACTCATGAAACGGACCTCATTCAACATGTTGATTTTCATGTATTTCATCTTTTTCATCTCCAAATGTTGGACTCTGGCCATGTAGGGGGGCCATGCTGAAACTCAACAAATGCTACCCTCAGCAACAGACCTTCCTAGTGGTCACCATCCTAGTGTCCTCACCCCACCCATTCCTGGCAAACCGCCCCCCCCCCCCCGCTTGTCTTATGTCTTTGAAGCTGCTTTCTGCCCCAACTGTGGCTGTGAAGTCGGCTCAGGCTCTGTGTTTCTACTTCCAGGTCACTTATATCCAGGCCTGAGTAGTCACAGCTGTATGGCTGGCCCCTCTCCTGAACTGTCACTCTGGCTGGCCATGGATCCCTGTCTGGAAATAAGACCAGCTTCATGAGGTGAGAGGTCTCCCTCGACCCCTTCTCCTTGGGGCAACCATCTTCAGGTACTTGCTCTGGGACTCCTCCTGGCCACTTCCTACCCAGGTCCCTCTTCAACACATATGGCCTCTTAGGACTTCCCAAGGGCTCCTTGGCTCCCTTCCCAGTGAGTCAGCCTTATACTTCCTGCTTCTTCCTACTTCCCAGTATACAAGCGCTCTGTCTGCCTTACGCCTATACACCAGAAGAGGGCACCAGATCTCATTACAGATAGTTGTGAGCCACCACGTGGTTACTGGGACTTGAACTCGGGATCTCTGGAAGAGCAGACTCTTAACATCTGAGCCATCTCTCCAGACCCTCCCAGAAACCTCTTGTTGCTCAGGTTTGAATATCTTGCTTTAAAGAACAAATAAGTGACAGCACTCTGGAGGTAGAGGCAGACAGATCTCTGTGAGCTCTAAACCAGCCTGCTCTAAATAGAGATTTCCAGGACAGCCAGGCCTATGAAAAGACACCCCCTACCCCCCACCTGCTGCATCTCTCACACACAAAAAGAACAAATAAGAGGCTTGGGATGAAGTTCACTGGCTTATTATCAGGCAGGAAGCTCCAGGTTCCATCCCCCAGCACCACATACACAGAAACAAGAATGAATCAGCTGGAGGGATGAGAGGTGCATACCTTTAATCCCAGCACTCAAGGCAGAGGCAGGTGGATCTCTGTGAGTCTGAGACTAGCCTGGTCTACCAAGCGAGCTCCAAGACAGGCAGGGCTACACAGAGAAACTCTGTCTCAAAAAAAAAAAAAAAAAAAAAAAAAAAAAGAATGAATCAGTGAGGTCTCCACAGGCAAGAGCTGGGAACCACCCAAGAGTCCAGGGACAGATGGGTTGGTAAGCACAATGGGCTCACCCATACAGTGCTGGATAGAATAGTTCCAGAGTGGAATATTCTTCAGCAACAAAAGAGAACTTTGATGCATGCTGCCACACAGGTGACCCTCAGGAACGCCACAATAATAGAGTAAGTCAGCCACAAAAGAACAGCAGCCAAATTCATAGAGACAAAGTTGAAGGATGTTTTCTGGGGTTGGAGGGATGGCTTAATGGATAAAGGTTCAATCTGGGATAAGAAAAGGGTCAAGTTACTGGTACAACACTGTGTACATGCTCAATGCCCCTGAACTGTGTTCAGTTGAATGGTTAAAACTGTCATTTTATTTCCTCTGTTTCTTATGTTTATAATTTTTAATTATGTGAATCTGTGTGTGGGTATGTGCCGGTGAGTGCAGGCGTTCACAGAGCCAGAGGCTTCAGATTGCCCTGAGATGCGGTTACAGGAGGTTGTGAACTACCGGATGTGGGTGCTGGGAACCAAATTTGGTCCTCTGATAAGAGTAGAGCTCACTCTTAACCACTCAAACATCCTCAGGTCCACTCCATACTTCCTGCATATGCTCGTGTGTGTGTGTGTGTGTGTGTGTGTGTGTGTGTGTGTGTGTGTGTGTGTGTTTAAACAGGGCTCCACTCTGTAACTCAGACCAGCCTCAAATTCTCTCTGAACCTCCCAAGAGCTGGATTGCAACTATACCAGCTTGAAGTGGTTATTTTTGTTATACACTTTTTACTCTTTTTTACAAATTACATTCAGTCTTTTCCACTATCCCATCCATCCCATCCTCATATTGAAAAAGCAGCTCTGTTGAGAACGATCACCATTCACCAAGAAATGTAGCCTGTGGGCAACTGGAAATCTAATTGTGGGCAGTGGTATTTAAAGCCCATACTGTCACACTGGAGAAGGGACCAGGCCTCCCTGACACACTGACACACTCCATTCTAGCCACAGTGGCTGACTCATGCTGTTCAGCCCAATGCAAACACAGCCACCACTCCCTCCTCTGCTGTGTGGCCTTCCTGCTCCCCAATAGCATCCATTGTATGTATGGTCCTTTTCTGGTGCCAGAATTCACTGCTTTCTCCTATTGGCTGTTTCTTCCTCAAGCCCTCTGAGCTCCCACTGGGTACAGCCTTGTCCCTGGAAGAGTTACTCTGTAAAGTATACAGGCAAGATCTCAGTGTAACTGGCGATGACCTCTGATGATCCTGTAATATTAGGGCCCCATGTCTGGAAATTAGTAGGGAGCCTTCAGGTTTCCAGGTGAGACAGGAGCCCAGCAGGAGATCCAATCCAGAAAGTGAACCTTTCTTCATCTCTGTCCATCATTGCCCAGAGCCAGGGGGATCCCACTGCTAGGCAACAGGTCCAGGGGCTGAGTCTGTGTCTGCATAAGCTCTAGGTTCTCTTTTCTGTTTATTTTACTTCCTATGGATATGGAAGTAGGACACTTGTACATGAAGGCTCATCACAACACTATCCACAATAGTCAAATAGAAGAAACCCAAGTGTCCATCAGCCCATGACTAGATATGTAGAATGGGGTGGATCCATGCAACAGAATGGAAGAGAAGTTCTGGCACATGCTAAAGCATGGATGAAGTAAATTCAAAGTTGTGTGAATTCACTCACGCTAAGTAAAACAAGGTATAGGACACACATTGCATGATTCCACTTCAATGAGGCACCCGGACTAGATAAATTCACAGAGACAGAAGTACATAGTAGCCAGAGACTGAGGGAGGGGCAAGGGGATTGTCAGTGTTAGAAGGTAAAAAAGCTCTGGGGGCCATGTACCGAGGTGATGACCGTACCACAGTGCAAATGTGTTTCACACCACTGGGCTGAGTGTTTAAAGCCAGAATGCTTGCCGAGAGTGTGCAAGGCCCAGGAGTTACATTTCCTATGTGTCTGTTGTATAGGACTACCCTCTGAGTCAACCGTGTTCGTGAGTAGAGCTGTGCCTGCTTGCAAAATATCATCCAAGCTATCCCCTCATAGAAAAGGGGTGGGTTGGTATGGGATGTGGTGGTTTGAATAAGAATGGCCACCACAGGCTCATAGATTTGAATGCTCAGTCATTGGGGAATTGTGCTACTTGACAGAGATTGGTAGGTGTGACCCTGCTGGAGTAGGTGTGGCCTTGTTGGAGGAAGTGTGTCACTGGGGTTAGGCTTTGGGGTTTCAGATGCTCAAGCCAGGCCCACTATCTCTCTTCTTGCTGCCTGTTGATCCAGTGTAGAACTCTCATCTACCTCTCCAGTACCGTCTGCCTGAATGCCACCATGTTTCCCATCAAGACATCAATGGACTAAACCTCTGAACTGTAAGCCAGCCCCATTAAATGTTTTCCTTTATAAGAGTTGGAGTGGTCATGTGCCTCATCTCAGCAATAAAACACTAAGGCATGGGACCTCACTGGAATATCCAGTTGTATGTTGTCACTCTGCCTGCCTGGGGGAGTTAAGGGGCTAGAATACAGGGTGGGGAAGGACTAGAGGGACAGTGATCCATCTACACAGCCATATGGAAGCCATCATCCATGCTGGCTGCAGACCTTCTATGTGGGTCACCTACACTTCTGCCCAGAAGCCCTCACCTGTGCTCTGTAAGTAACCCTACCTAATAAACCCAATGGCTACCCAAGATGAACTTTGGTTTGTCATTGGGACCCCATGGCGGTGGGGGGTGGGGGATATTGTCCATAAGCCCAGCTTGGGCTAATCTTTTGCACGCAGGAACAGCTGAACTCATGAAAATTCCCTTGGCTTTTATCTTACAGTTTTCAAAAGCAGAGGTCCTGGGACTGGAGAGATGGTGGCGCAGCAGTTAAAAGCACCGCTACCTTTCTAGAGGCTGGGGTTCTATTCCCAGCTCCATTTGGGTGGTCCACAGTCACCTGTAACTTCAGCCCCAGGGAATGCTTTTCTAGTTTCTGAAGGCATTATACATACACACATGAGGTACACACACACACACACACACACACACACACACACACACACACACACACCACATCCATACATATAAAAGTTTTAATGAAAAAAAAAAAAAAAACAAGTGAAGAAGAAGGTCCTGAAACTCCCTCCACTCCAAGGTCAACTTCTCAAGCCTAGGCTGCAGAAGAGCCAGAGTTCAGCAGCATGACTTTGGATATCTGTTGAAGGACAAAGAGTCCAAGAGGCTGTGACAACACTCAACAACGTCAAGGCAGGCTGCAAAGTCCCAAAGCCCCCAAAACACAGCCACTCTCTCCAGTCCCATGATGTTCTGTTCTACCACGCACAGGCTAGAGATGGTCAATGAGAGAACTCTAGGAACGTGGACGCCTAAAATCCTACTCAAAGACAGTGGTAGACAATACCAGAGGTATCTGACAAGGAAGCAAAGAGCTGCCTGCAGATGCTGCCCAAAGCTCAGCGGTGACAGGAGATGGCTTCAGATGCAGAGTGGAGCTTTCAGAGAGCCACTGAGAACTGACCCTGCAAAG